TTGAGCTCTCCATTCCGTCTCAGTGAGCAGCCAGACTGACAACCTTGCCAACATCGCGTTCTTACTACATCTCGGTTCCTGAAGCTGCAGAAAGTTAAGTGCTCCCACTAGCAGTTACTACGATAGCTTCGTCGCCTCGGTGGGGAGCCGTCAAGTCTTTGTTGCAGCTTTCCTCTCAGAGCTTTTGGTTTCTTTCTCCTTTGACATTAGTGTAAAATTTTTCAGCTTCTGGTGCTGCTTTTCCCAGTTTCCACATCCATCTCTCGCTAATAATCCGCTAGCCTTGTCCGAGTGAGTGAATGCAGCAGCTATTTCATGACAGAATATAGTAGACTCGGCGCATTGGAAGCTTAAAGCAGCCTCGCATTAGCAATTCGCCGTCTGGGTGACATTAGTTCCTCCCAGCGATCCATACGCAGTTCCTGAAAATCAAATCCTTTTTGCTGAGCCTAAAACTCCTATGGATTCCTTGGTTCCTGCATCGGCCACTTCAACAGCTGAAGCCTCTAAGACCTTTCCGATTGATGTTGACGGTGATGAAGGATCTGACCACTGCTATCCGAAGGTCAAGTTGCCTCGCAAGAACGTGAGTCGACCTCCTCGCGAGACGTTGCCTGGCGAGATTCTTAAGAATAACGGTGGACCGTTCGGCTCTGTGTGCTGCCTTCTGCTGCGAAAAACCTCTAAGTCGCCTCCAAAGGACACAGATGGTGATGAAGAATCTGACCACTGTTATCCAAAGGTCAAGTTGCCTCGCGTTGACAAGAATATACAGTCTAGACGGACTCCTCCTGCTCCAGCTGATAAGCCTAACGTAGTCCCTGCAATTCGTACAGCTTCTCCGGGCTCTATCGCTGCTACTGCTGCTCCCATCCTTCCGTCGTCTGCTCCAGCCGTTGAAGCTCTTGACGCTCCCGCGTCCTCCCACGTGGACGCAGCCAACGTTGCTTTGGAGGCATCGGCGCCAGCCACCAGTTTCTCTCAAGAGGCTTCGGCGACTGGGGACCAGGGTGGCGGTGCTGGACAAGCGGAACTGGTGACTCCTAGCAGTCGACGATTCAAGAAGAGGATGAGCCAGAGTCCTGCAGGTTTGGAGCACTTGACACCTACCTCGAAGCCGGCGGAAACTCGCAGGTCGCAGCTATTGGGAGAACATGACAGGCAGCGTTTCACGGATTGCAGAGATCAATCGTTTTTGGAGGACAATTCGGGCGTGGATGCAATTTCTCCCCTTGAAGACGACGCTGCCTGGTTCCAAAAGAGACGAATGTCCCTGACGCCAGCCGTGCGGCGTCCTTCTCTTGGCGCAGCTGTCAGACCTGGCGTTGACGCCAGGGCAACGCTGGTCGCGGAGGGTGGAGCATGCAGCGCTGCGCCCTGATGCAGGAAGCAGGAAAGGCTGGAAAGGGGTCGAGGCAAGCAGGGTCGGAAGCGGGAGAAGCTCGTTCGAAGCAAGCGGGACACGAGGAAGCAGTGCAGGTGGGAAAGGCTAGTTCGAAGCAAGCGGGAGAAGCTAGTGCGAAGCAGGCGGGAGAAGCAGAAGAAGCGGGACAGCGTGGTCTGAAGGTAATGGCGAAGGACACAGTAGAGCAGGGCATTCGTGAAGGCGCAACTGCTGAGCAAGATCAGACCAGCGGAGAAGCAGGCAAGCAGGGAGCGGACCTGGGTATGGGTGTGGAGGGGCCTGTGGAGCTGACGAAGGAGTATCTTGAGTCGCGTATGAACGTCATCTTCGCTCAAGAGACCTGCAACGCGGACCAGAAGCCGTGCGGATACGCCAGGCAGGTCAAGGCAATGCTTGAAGCGGTGCTATCTCAGCGTCCATGCTCGACATCAGGGCGTTTTGAAGCGAGTGCGGATGAGGGGAGCGAGGATGAGGAGGAGGAGAATGCGGGGAAGAGCGATGGAGGGGCATCAGGCAAGCGGGTTGAGCCAGCAGCTGGGGAGAAAGAGGCTGGGGGAGGGAGGAATGAGTCATTAGCCACTGTGAGGTTCCGCTTACAGGGTTTGAGAGAGATCAAGGACGAGCTGTTGAAGGAGTTGCAGGAGATTGAGGCTCTGGAGAAGCTAGAGGAGGCTGAGGAGGAAGATACGCAGCAGAGCAGCGAGGAGGGAGCAGACGAGGAGGAAAGTTTTGCAGGAGAGGAGGAAGCTTCAAATGCTCAGGTTGCAGAAGCAATTGAGGAGATTCTCCCAGTTGTGGAAGAAAAGGTGAGGACGAATCTAGGCATTGTGTTTTGACTGGTGCAGTTCTGTTCGAGCGAGACACTAGGATGCCATACTTACTTAAATCTGCCCGTCCCATTGTTTTATCGCAGATCAAGTGTACACGCTCTTGGATCAACACCACACTATCACTGTGTGAGCGGGCAGCAACAGTGGAGCAGCAGCTGGTTCAGGCATACCCTGGGGCTGCAGCTGCTGCTGTTGGTGGAACAGGCGATTCCAGAGGATCAACAGCAGCAGTGAGAGGTGCAGGAGGGCTTGCAGGAGTGCCGCTGGCTGTGTTGACTCCACGAACAGCAGCTAGGGGCCTGGCGAATCTTGGGCAGCCAGATATGCCCACGGACTGGGAGTGATGCGGGCAGAACGTAGGAAGCCGAGTTGGCAGTACTAGTGATTGTGGGTGGGCGATCCTGGAAGAGAGGAATGGGTTTGTGCTGGTCACACTGCAAGGTGTGGGTGGTGGGCTGCGAACACAGCTTAGGTGGGGATGGAGACTGACTACAGGTATGGTAGGACCTTGGCACTAACGTCTATGATAACTGCTGCTTGCCAATGCTGGCTGCTGAACATTATGAATTTTTTCGAAAGTGTGTAACACTTTCTAAAAATGCGTATTGTGAAAGCGCAGCTGACTGTAGCGCAGCAAGGCAATTGCGAATTACTATTCGCCGAATATATAAGAGGGTTGGAGGCCATTTGGCCTCCACCCACGTCTTCATTTTGGAACTTTGCAGTTCCTCTCCACCATTCTCGTCCAACCACTTAGTTTTTCCGTTGTCACTTGGATTCTTTCACTAACTCGTAGACAAGACAGACTTATCAACCGTGAAAGGCAACGGACGCACACATGCGACTATACCTGGCGTGCGTTCAACTGAAAGCGAAGTGCGCCGGAGGAAATTGCAACTGGCACGCCAAGGACGAAATCGCCAGTGGCAGCGCGCCAAGGATGAAATCGCCACTGGCGCCAGTGGCGCGCGCCAGGGAAGAAATCGCCACTGGCGCCAGTGGCGCGCGTCAGGGACGGAATCGCCACTGGCGCTAGTGGCGCGCGCCAGGGATGAAATCGCCACACGCTCGCCTGCAGCTCTTGCGCCAGTGGCGAAATCGCCACACGCTCGCCCGCAGCACTTGCGCCAGTGGCGAAATCGACACACGCACACCTGTGCCACGAAATCGCCACTAGAGCGGCAGTGACAGGACTTCCTTGACTGGGAGCCAATCACCAATTATGAGTCGCTTGTTTAAGTGCTGAAAGCCTTTTCATTTATTTTTTCTGTTATGTCATCTCCTCCTATTGTCTATTAATCCCCCCGCTGCTTCAATCCCTTGGTGGCAGAAAACTGGGCTCAACCCCAAGAAAACCGGGCTCAACACCACAAAAGTGTCAAATGTTGTAGCCTGTAGTGAGGTTTGTCTTAGGGGGTACAGAAGTTAGGGTTTGTCATATGTACCCCAACCAACATCAATGCCACACTTATTCCTCATTTTGACATGGTATCAGCTAGGTTAGGATCCTGTGGGATCCCGTTCCTCCGTTCTCCGTTCGTACCTCCCGAGCCTGATCCTACCTCTCGTTCGTACCAGTTTCGTAGTTACCGCGCCTAGTACCGAGCCTAGCGTCATCTCCCCCGTCGCGTCACGCCTGTTCCCCCCCCGTCGCGTCACGCCCGTTCCCCCCGTCGTCTCGCGCCCGTTCCCCCCGTCGCGTCGCGCCCGTTCCCCCCGTCGCGTCGCGCCCGTTTCCCCCTGTCGCGTCGCGCCCGTTCCCCCCCGTCGCGTCGCGCCCGTTCCCCCCGTCGCGTCGCGCCCGCCTGTTACCCCCCCCGTCCCGTCGCCCTGTCCCTTCGCGTCGCCCTGTCCCGTCGCGTCGCCCTGTCCCGTCGCGTCGCCCTGCCCTGTTCTGTCGCGTCGCCCTGCCCTGTCCCGTCGCCCTGTCCCGTCGCGTCGCCCTACCCCGTCGCGTCGCCCTGCCCTGTCCCGTCGCCCTGCTCCGTCGCGCCGCCCTGCCCCGTCGCGTCGCCCTGTCCCGTCGCGTCGCCCTGCCCCGTCGCGTTGCCCTGCCCTTTCCCCCGTCGCGTCGCCCTCCCTAGGCCCTGGCCTGTCGCCCTTCCTAGGCCCTGGCCCGTCGCCCTACCCTAGGCCCTGGCCCGTTGCCCTACCCTACGTCTTGGCCCGTCGTCCTAGCCCGCTCTTCCGCTGCGACTGAGTCCTCTTCCCCCCCCGGTTGTTACTCGCCTGTTCGTTCTCACTATGGCGACTCCGCGAGTTCTTCGTTTCGACGCCGACGGTAGACCCCTTGACTTTTCCGTCTGGCTTCTTCGCGCTCGTCGTCTGTTAGAGAGTCAGGTCCAGGGGGGCGAGACCCTCTAGTCACACGCTACTGGTGACCTCCCCGAGCCCCCCCGAGCCTACAACTTTAGGCCCTGCTCCTGACGACGCTGCTACGGCTCGCTTTGCCCGTCAGCGCGCTGACCGGACGGCTTGGACGTCGCGTGACGCTGCGGCCTGCATCGCACTCAGCAGCCTCCTCCCTAAGTCCGAGGAGGTCCACTTTACTCAGGTTCGCACCGCTGCTGCGTACCTCACTGCGATTAAGGCCCGCTACTCTACTCCCGCTACTGTCTCTCTCGGCCGTCTTTTCCTCCCGTTCCTGTTTCCTGATCTTGCCTCGTTTGAGCGCTCTGCTGACTTGATCGCTCACCTCCGATCGCTCGACGCTAGTTACCGCGCTGCTTGCACTGAGGCACAGCTTGCACTGCTTCCTCCCCCCATGGCGATTACTGTCTATTTCATCGCCACTAGCCTCCCTGACCGCCTTGCCTCCGTTCGTGACGCGCTTCTGCTGAAGCACCCTAGTGAGCTGACTATCGAGGTCCTTGAGTCTGCACTCAAGGACGTCGAGAGCAACCTTCGTTCGGTAGCTGCCGCCTCTGGTACTGTGTCCCCCCCACTCTTCCACGGGTGCACAGTTCCGCAGTTACCCACCTTCACTGCCTCTCTTGCCACTGCCGCTACTGACGCGACTGCGGCTGCTGTTACGACTGCGTCGCGGTCCCGCGGCAGGGGGGGCAAGAAAGGTGGTTCCGGTGGAGGTGGAGGCGGGGGTAGCGGAGGTAGTGGGGGTGCTGTTGCGACTGGCGGTGGTGGGACTGCAGCGTCTGGAGAGACCCCTCGTGCAGCGGCTGGTGACTCCACTGCACCTGCTGGTGGCGGCGACCCTCGAGCTCGTCAGTCGCCTCCTGTACTGCCGGCCCCGCTAGGTGGAGCAGCGGCGTGGTACCAGGCTCAGCGTCAGCAGCACCTTCAGCAGCAGCAGCAGCCCCTTTCCTCCCAGCAGCCTCAGCAGCAGCAGCGTCAGCAGCTGGCTCCGGGGTCGGGGCTGCGTCAGCCCCAGCGCGGTGCTGCTTACCCTCCCTGCCCCTACCAGGTTCAGACAGGTCCTCGTCGGGGCCACCCTTGTGGCCGCTTTCACCCCCCTGGTCAGTGCTTTGCTCAGCTCACTGACACGGTCCGGTTGACCTACGGGGTTGGCGGTCCTGCTCCTGACTGGCTTCCTCTGGTTCAGCGCCACGGCTCCGCTCTGTGGGGCATGTCTGCTGAGCAGTTAGTTGATCTGATTAGTGCTCCTCATGCTATGTATGCTGTTGTTGACTCTAGTGTTTCTGACTCTGTTTACTCTGGTGTTGTTAGCTTAGGTGCTAGTCTTGCTCAGTTGCCTGTTGCTAGTGTAGGTACTTGTGTAGACTCTAGACCAGCGACTACCTCAGAGGACGCTTCGCTGTCGTTCACACTGGACTCTGGAGCCTCCCACTACTTCTTTCGGGACAGCACGACACTTACACCACTTCCTGCGCCTGTTTCTGTAGCGTTGGCTGATCCCACTACGGGACCAGTCACTGCACGTCACACTACCACTTTACCGTGTCCTGCTGCTCCCTCCGGGTCTCTCACTGGGTTTCACGTCCCCTCGTTCTCCCGGAACTTGGTGGGCGTGCGACCCCTCGTGAGTCAGCACGTGGGTGTGTGGTTTGAGCCTTCTGGAGAGACTGCGGTGTGTGTTGACGGAGACTCTTACCAGCCTCTTGCTACCTTTACTGCTGAGCCGGGCTCGGGTCTCTACACTCTTCACACTGGCCCGCGTGCGCCGCAGAAGCAGCCGCAGCAGCAGCAGCAGCCGCAGCAGCAGCAGCAGCAGCAGCAGCAGCAGCAGCAGCAGCAGCAGCAGCACCACCACCACCAGCGGCCGCACCAGCAGCCCCACCTACTGCCACTGCCCCCGGTTCCCCCCCCCGTTCGGGTCCCCGCGTCTCACCAGGTTGCTACGTCCCCCCAGGTGTCTGTGTCGTGTCAGGTTCCTACGTCTGTTCCAGTCGCTGCGTCGTGCTCCTGCCGGTCGCTTGCCCACCCCACCGTTCTGTGGCACCACCGGATGGGGCACCCGTCCCTTCCACGTCTGCGCGCTATGTCTAGTCAGCGTCTTGTCCTAGGGCTCCCACGTGTCTTGCCGTCGCTGCCGCCTTCGCCTGCGCCGCCGTGTCGTCCCTGCGTCGAGGGTAGGCTGCGCGCCACCCCTCACTCCTCCTCCCTTCGTCCGGCCACCAAGCCTTTTGAGACGCTTCACTTGGACGTCTGGGGCCCAGCCCCTCGTCTAGGCCCTGAGCGTGAGCGTTACTTTCTGGTGGTAGTTGACGACTTCTCCCGCTACACCACAGTGTTCCCTCTGGCGAAGAAGTCTGAGGTGACTTCTACGCTGATCAGGTGGTTGCTCACCACTGAGGACACTCGTGGTCGTCGTGTCAGCTGTCTCCACTCCGACCGTGGGGGTGAGTTTCGCTCCGGCATTCTCGCTGGATTCTGTCGCGAGCAGGGCATTCGTCAGTCCTGGACGCTTCCAGAGTCCCCACAGCAGAATGGGGTTGCTGAGCGCCGCATAGGCCTGGTCATGGAGATCGCCCGCACCTCCCTGACTCACGCCTGTGCCCCCCATTTTCTGTGGCCCTACGCGGTAAGGTACGCCGCGCACCAGCTGAACCTCTGGCCACGTGTCTCTCGACCAGAGGTTTCACCGACCAGTCTTTGGACAGGGTCCCCTGGTGTTGCGTCGCGGTTTCGTGTCTGGGGGTGCTTGGCTCTTGTCCGCGACACCTCCGCGGACAAGCTCTCGCCTCGTGCCGTCCCCTGTGTCTTCCTTGGTTTCCCTGAGGACTCCTCTGACTTCACCTTTTACCACCCTCCCTCTCACCGGTTCTTTGACTCCCGTGACGTCCGTTTCGAGGAGTCCACTCCGTACTACGTCAGGTACCCCAGTCGAGGTCTCCCGGTTCCTCCTCCCCCCCTCTTCCTGACTGCC